GAAGCTGCGCATCGAGGGCGACAGCACGCTGGTCATCCAGCAAGTGCGGGGGTGGCTGTCCTTCTTCGCGGAACACAACTTACGCGTCGAATACAAACCGGGCAAGCTCAACGTGCTTGCGGACGCCCTCTCTCGGCGTCCCGACTATGAGTTGGCCCACATCACGCGGGTGACAACGGATCTATATGATCGGATACGCATGGCGTATCGGGACGATGAGGCTGTCGCGTCTATCGTCAAGTTCCTTAAGACCGGAACGAGCGCGAAGTTCGACTTGCTCTCGTCGCGACAGCGCTCACGGCTCCACCGATATGAGTTGAAGGAGGGCCTCCTCTATTATCGGGTGGAGCCCACTGATCCTCCACGGGTGGTCGTACCCAACGACGAGGATCTAAAGTTCGACATCCTCGCGGAGGCGCATGACGCGCCCTCCAGCGGCCACTTGGGCCGCGAGAAGACCTTTCTGTCGGTCTCGCAGTCCTTCTGGTGGACCCACATATACAAGTGGGTCGCCCGGTACGTCAAGACATGTGAAACATGTCAGCGGGTCAAACCCGCGGGGCACTCTTCGGCTCCACTACAGAGCCTGCCCGTACCGGCTGATTGTTGAGAGTCGATGAGTCTTGACTTCATCTTTGGGCTTCCCGCCGACGGACGCGGCAACACCGGAATTTTGATGTTCGTGTGTCGGCTGATCAAGATGGTACATCTTGCTCCAGTTCCCGTCACTGTAACGGGCGAACAAACCGCAAGGTTGTTCGGTCGATGGCGTGTTCCGCTATCACGGTCTCCCGGAGACGATTGTCTCGGACCGAGACCCGCGGTTCACTGCCGCGTTTTGGAAAACGCTGTTCCCTTTAGTGGGAACTCGTCTGCAGATGTCTACTGCGGACCATCCGCAGACCGACGGCCAAACAGAGCGCGTCAACCGAGTGCTCGAGGACACTCTGCGCAGTGTGTGCGCGGTAGCTCCACGTACGTGATCAACGCAGCTCCCAGTTGTTGAGTTTGCGCTCAACAACGCGGTGCACGCGTCCACGGGGTTCACGCCGTTCTACTTGAACGGCTTCCGCCACCCCAGAGTGCCTCTCACTCTTCGAGGAGACACTGACTCCTCTTCTAAGTGGGGGAGAGGCTCGGAAAGCCCTTTCCTCCCAGGCCTCGGACGTGAGACCAGTTTTGCTGCGGAAACAGGTGGAATCCTTTCTGGATACCAAGCTGAACATTGGCAGCAGGGACCGCGATGCCATGGCAGCGGCCCAAGATAAACAAAAGGAGTACTCAGACAAACAAGGAAGAGGAAACTTAAGTATATTTGAGGTTGGTGACTTAGTGTCGCTAGACACGAGGAACCTACCTCTAGACACTGTTAGCTCTGTCGGCAGCAACAAACTGAAGCACCGCTTCATCGGACCTTTTGCAGTCCTGGCCAGACATGGTGCGTCGTACACCATCGACCTTCCAAAGTCAATGACGACGCACCCGACGTTCTATGTCGGACGTCTTAAGCGGTACTTTGACCCGCAGGGGGTTGCTGACTCGCAGCCCCCCCTTGACCCAGCTCCTCGAAGCAAGGGCCGGTCACAGTCGTCGACGAGGGCGTCGGAGCAGGCACCCAAGCCTCGGTCGGGACGGCAAGGCTGCGGTCAAGACCGTACGCCGGAAAAGGGGCTCCATACGAACGGACCCCGGAACCATACGCCGAGTACGCTGAGTACGCCGGGTACGCACCATACGCGTACGTCTAAGAGTGTGCCGCAGGCGGCTCCGGACGTGGCAACAAAGCCTCGATCCGTCGGATCATTCGAAAGGCCTCGTCCAGATCGGACGAAGAGGCCCGGCGACCCACCCGCAGGTATTTAGAACTTTCATATGTTGATATTGTGTTTTTTATTTAGTTTTTGAACACTTCAAGGACAAAGATTGCGTCTTGCTGTGTCTACCCGAGAGCTGCAACAGACCTGCCATTACCAGCGGCTTCCGGTCTGTGTGTGGCGATCCGTCCGTCTCGACTGTTGCTCGTTTGAAGCAGCAAGACGAGGACAACGCGGCTACTACTACCGAGACCAAGCACCACAAGCACGACACGCACAAGCTCTCGGTGCTGTATGCTTTCCATCGTGATGAGTTGCCTTTCCTCTCGAACTTCACGCTCGATGTCAATTCGGACGATGAAGTGCAACATGCTGAGCTGGTGATCGTCAAAGGGTTGGGTGTCAAGGGCTTCGGTCTCAGGGTGAAGTCCTGGACGCACAAGTGCTTCGAGTTGCTGGGCTTTGGCTGCAAAAAGGACAAGAAAGTCAAGTGTCAACGAGCGAATGAACGTCCCAGAGCGGCCACGTCTGAAATTGCTAAGCCCGACGGTATAAATTCGTGTGATGTCCACACAGACGACGGCTATCGAAACACGATTCATTAGTGAAAGGACAATCTCGCTAATATAATTTGATCTTTCCTACATATTGCTTTTTATGAAGGGGTAAATGGTAGATTTAAGCCAACATTTCGTACTGGTATTGACGACGAAGACGTGCGTTGTGCAGCGTCGTACTGTAGCGAGCCCCCATCGAGCATTGGTTCTATCCGGCATACGTAATGTACTCCTCTCCACAAGTCAAAAGTGGATAAGTCCTACTATTGAATAAAAGTCAGCAGCATTATCAAAATTATAAAAAAAAAAAATTAAATATTTAACCAAGAAGCAACAACATCATACCTGAGCTTAAGGTCGCTGCTGTGTCCGCGTTAGAAGCTAAGAGGTTGTCGATGCTCCTTCCTTGAGTGAAGATGACGACGGCCAGATCAAGTTCAGCCACAGCAATTCATCGAGTGACAGCCTTCGTCTGTTTGGCATGGTCACAATACAGTCTGTTTGCTTAAATCGTTTCGCCATATTGGGAGATAGCAGCTTACAAGCCGCTCGTGCTGGTATTGGCGAGGTAGTCGAAGGTTGTTTAGTCTTGTACTACACTGGTGATGTGCTTCACGAAGCGCGGTACATGTCCGTAGCGCTTGCGACGCTTGATTGCTTCAGCTTCGGGTCTTTGAATGAAATTGAAGAGTGACGACTGCTTCGAGTAGCTGAAAGCTCAAAGCCATCGATGAAGGTCATCACAAATGGCGACAAACAGACGATCAATCGTCGTGCAGCGCAAGCACCGTTTTCAAAAGAGGTTTGGAGAGCAGGAAAACGCGCGCCAAGCTTCAAATGACTCCCCCTAACCTGTTGAGGAGCGAGTACTATCCGACACCTGGATGTAAATCCACACCCCGTGGCTGTTTGGTGGCCATTCTATTGACGGAAACCGCACAATCGTTAGCACACGCAACAAGAATCATCATATCACCAGCTCCACGCCGGTGCAGAGGCAGACACAGAGTGCCATCAGCCTTTTACAAAAGCCGATAGCAAAAACCTCCAGAACTTATACGTTGCTCTGTCCACCAGCCACATGTGCCAAACTTTCACCTTACAGGGCATGCTCCTCCTAGTACGCCTCACTACACTGCACAGACCGAGCAATCAGGTGATCACACGACTTGACGATAGCCACTTTGAAGCTAGAGAGAGACCATACTCGTTCGAATCAGCCACAGGACCCAAACCACGCCCATCGGAGGATAGCTTCCAGCTTTCTTCAAGCTGAAAACGAGTAAACCAACCACTAGTATGCTCAATTAGAATACATGTAGAAGCCAACACCACCATTTGTTCGGCGAGTCGTCCGTGAGTTACGAGCAGTGACACTTACATATGTAGACGAACAACCAACGAATGGAGGTACGACACTGTAAGTCACAGGAAGAGCCATTTTCATGGCCTGGACAAGAAACATTGCGGTCTCATTAGAAACTCATCCAGCCGAGTTTGGAGAACCTGGCATTTCGACGATCGTGCTCTTCCTACGCACGACTTTGACCATCACTCGGACGAACAGTGCTCATCGTGGTGATCTCATTTTCCTGACATTTAGAGACACCGATTTGAACGAGTCTGTCGTTCTATCTGACGTCACGATTTGGACGAAAATGGCATGATCACCACAAAAATGACATTTATGAGCTCTCCGACGCCGACGAGGGCAAAAAAATTTAGCATGGGGAAATGTCCATACTTTCTCGTGGAGTTGGTCGCGATGTCTCGCTGAAAGTTGTAATTTGCTCAAAAAAGTACCTGAAAACCGCTAATTAGACTTGCACAGCTGTATCCAAATAGTACGGAAAAGGCTGATAAACCGAAGATCTTCTTGCCGATTCGGAATTCAATTGGTTCTAGCGAAGGGTTTAGTTGTCTGTATCCCTTACATGCTTGTGTGAAAGATCAGCAAGCACCAAGCGCGAATTCACTTAGTAGTCTGGCAAGGCCGACAGCTTGTTCTTCTTGCCAGCCCAATCCTAATCGGTGGTGAAGTCTTCAGCTTGTATAGCCCGTATACGCTTAAATTGGGCGTGTCGATCGGAATAGTGAGCATGATTGGGAGTGCTTCCTCCTTGTTTAGTAGTATCACTGCGAAGATGTAGTACTGAGCGTTGCTTGTGTTGACCTCTGTGGCAACCGTGGTCGTGGTACACTACCACACTACTGGTGCTCTGGTAGTGTTTCCGTTCGTGAAGATGTTGTGCACATACAGTGCGCACACTGTGGGCATGTCGTCGGAGGTTTGTATTGGGTGACCAGCTGCGAGTTTGTATCCGAACGACCAGCTGCAGTATCTTGCTGGTAGCGATCTCGAGCGCCTTTCGTACGGTGACTGCTCCACTACTGGCAATGTCGGCGTTTTGCGGTGTCTAGATAGGTATACCTTGTCTCGGCCTACTGTCCCGTGGTCGCTGCACCAAAGAGCTATGCAGTCGGGCTGGCGGTGGCCAGCGATGCCCCTTGATGACAGGATCTATGTGAGTGTGTGTCCAGCTTGTTGTCGTACAGGTCGGCGTCTTTCAAGGATAGGGTGGCCTGGTTCTGTGAAAGAGCGTCCGCGCTCCTTGTAAAGTCGGGTGACGGCTTGAACAGCCTGTATGATGAACTCGGATGACTGTAGATGTCGGTTCCAGTACGAATAGACTGATACACCCTAGAATCATAATCGCCGAGTCAGGTGCGTGCACGTTCTGTACGATAACGCGGCTGTGACTCCGTGTCGTATTCCTCGGGGTGTACGTGGTGATGACAACGTACATAGTCGTCCTCATCGCGTCCACAGCGACTGTGACAGTCGTCTGGTTGCCGGGTCTCTGAAACAGAGACACTCAAGCAGATGTTGTGCCTCGATGGTGGTTGTTGTCGCTGTTGTGGGCGCTTACGCTGTCACCATCGGTGCTCTGGTTGTTGGTAGCGCTAGGTATGTGTGAACAGGGGGTTAGACCAGGCATCCATTGATGAGAGAAAGGCAGCAAACGAACCTTGAAAACTCTGACGAGTCGCCGATTCTGACTGAAAAGTTGGACAGCGCTTCGCCTCAAAACGAGGTCTGCGCAGTAGCTGCAAGAAATTCGCAAGTGAGAGGCTGGCTGGGAGGTGCAAGGCTCCGAGCGGGCGGAGGTGGGAGAGTCGCGACAAGAAGCTGCTGAGGCTGCTGTGGCGGCTGGCAAGGCACGTTGCATGTAACGGGGTACGTAGCCCTAAGTGTACCCTGGTTACATGAAGTGTGACACTTCACACTTCAGGAGTATGACACGTCATACTCCGGGATATTTGGTACAAGGTACCAAAGTCGTTCAAAGCCAAACATTGGTTAAATGACATTGCATTTCTATAGGTAACTGATAGTTTGTATAAAACCCAAACTTAACCTACCTATAAATATATACTCAGTTTGCAATCTACCTTATTTAGGTCACTTCGCTCTCTTTAATTAAAGAGGGGATCTGTGAACTGCCGTTCACTGAGAGTTTGTATACTCTCGGAAGATAACTTCCTCTAGCGCAAGGTGCTGTGTGACCCCGTCACACTTGGTAGCACTTGTAGTCAATCCACGCCACCGCGGGTAGACTACCTGAACCTCTCCGAAGTTCGTTGCCATGGATAGGAACGACTTCTCCCATATGAACGACTCTCAGTTCGAGTCGGTTCGGAAGATGGCAGGCATCTTCGGGATGGAGGCCCTGCAGAGCCTGGTGGCGTCAACACCGGCTGAGCAGCTCGAGCGCGTCAATGCATTCGACGCGTACGAGCAGGGCCTCATCACGCATGTGCCGGAGAACCTGCAGGCTCCGGCGGCGGAAGCAAATCCGCCTCACCCGAAGCCAATACGGCTGAAGGTTAAGCCGTATGAAGGGAAGGAATGCGAGAACCTTCACTTCTGGGTCCGAGAAGTAGAGCTCGCGATGGACGCGGCTCTGATCTCGACCGAGCAACTGCGTGTTGCTTTTGCACTATCCAACCTTAGCGGTCGTGCTAAGAGTTGGGTGTACACTCGGGAAGCAACATCCCCCGGATGTTTCACATCCTGGGCTCAGCTGTGCGAACAGCTCCGAGCCGCGTTCCTCCCGGCGAACTACGAGTACCGCCAGCGTTCGCGCTTCCTCGCGTGTAAACAAAGAAGGCGCGAGCTGCACGAGTATGTGCAAGAGATACGGGAGCTCATGGCGTCCCTAGTGGGAGACCCACTCAACGAACATATCAAGATGACTGTGTTCATGGACGGCCTTCGAGTGGGCCCCGCACGCACTCAGCTGTTCCGGGTGCAGTCAAGCACCCTTGAAGAGGCGATTCAAGTGGCTCTTCAAGAAGAGTACAGCCATCGCCAGGCGCGTACGCCGGCCTCAGCGTGGCCAGGGAGTTCCTTGTCGGCTCCCAGTCGAACAAGCCCCAACGGACCAGTTCCCATGGAACTCGGGTCCGCCGAACAGCGTGACATCCGCTGCTTCGGCTGTGGGAAGATAGGCCACTTCAAGCGTGACTGCCCCGCGGAAAGACTCCGCAGACGGTCCTTCCCCAAGCCCGTCCTCAAGGGTCGCTGGCAAAAGCCAGGATCCCGGGAACAGGGGAACGCAGGGAACCAGTAGGAGCGGGGCGCCCTACTGGGGAAGAACTAAGTCTTCGTGATGGGTGCGCGGGTGGCGCGTACCACGGGGATTTAGCCCCTGAGAGTCTTCGCACTCTCGAATCGGCGAAGAGCAGCGGCGGGTTGCTCGTAGTACACGGATATGTACGGGGATACGATCATCCCTTCAGAATCTTGATTGACTCTGGGGCGTCGAAGAATTTCGCACGCCGCCAGACGGTTGCTCGTAACAGCAACAAGTTGTCCGATGCTTGAGAGAAAGCAAGGGCAACGGGACGGTGTCAGTGCGACTGGCCGACGGGAAGGTCGTCACTGTCCCCAACGTCCAAGTGGATCTGGCTGTCAAGTTTGAAGTCTTTGACAGCCTCGAACAGTTCACTGTTCTCGATATGGATCCATATGATATGATCCTGGGCATGCCCTGACTTGAGAAGCACGAGCCCTGGATCGACTGACGAGGCAAGGCTATCGGTGGCAGCCGCCCTGCGCAGTCCGACAGAGCATTGGTGAGTCATGTTCCCACCTCTGCCAGGACCCGGGGCGCCCGCGAGGGCTGCCAGGGTACTAAAGCATCCAGCAGATGCTTGGGAGGCGTCGACGTATATGATGACTCCGAGGATGTTTTGATGGTGGCCGCGCCCAGATAAGGCGCCGGCCAAGTGGGTAACTTAGGTCCACAGGCGGGTAACTTAGTTCCGCAGACAGCTGCAGCTGTCATGAACACTGAGAACAGCGTGTTCAGAGTGGGTAACAGAGTTCCACTCACGGTCGCCCAGACCATAACGGAAGAGGAAGACGTCGGATACGCCTCCTGTGTGGGTAACACAGTGCCACACGCGGTCGCCAGACCTTAACTGAAGAGGAAGGCGTTGAACACGCTTCCTGTGTGGGTAACACAGTGCCACACGCGGTCGCCCAGACCTTAACTGAAGAGGAAGGCGTTGAACACGCTTCCTGTGTGGGTACAACAGTACCACACGAGACCACGAGTGCCTCGGATGTCGTAGCGACGACATCCCTAGACGTGGGCAGCAAAGCTCCCCGTCACAGACGCCGTCGACAAAGACGCCGCCGCCGCCTCAAGTCGGATCCGAACTTCGTTCCGATCGACGTCGCTTCAAGCGACTCGGAGTCCAGGGCCCGGGCTCCTCCGACAAGGCCGGTGGAAGAGTGTTATCACATCTTCGATGGCGAGACAGGTTTACCCGTCAAGGCATCTGGTGTCCACCTGGAACCGTTTCCAGAGGTTGCAGAGATACTGCACCTCGAGGAAATGACGGAAGGATGGCGAGGTGGCTGTCCTTCTTCGCGGAACACAACTTACGCGTCGAATACAAACCGGGCAAGCTCAACGTGCTTGCGGACGCCCTCTCTCGGCGTCCCGACTATGAGTTGGCCCACATCACGCGGGTGACAACGGATCTATATGATCGGATACGCATGGCGTATCGGGACGATGAGGCTGTCGCGTCTATCGTCAAGTTCCTTAAGACCGGAACGAGCGCGAAGTTCGACTTGCTCTCGTCGCGACAGCGCTCACGGCTCCACCGATATGAGTTGAAGGAGGGCCTCCTCTATTATCGGGTGGAGCCCACTGATTCTCCACGGGTGGTCGTACCCAACGACGAGGATCTAAAGTTCGACATCCTCGCGGAGGCGCATGACGCGCCCTCCAGCGGCCACTTGGGCCGCGAGAAGACCTTTCTGTCGGTCTCGCAGTCCTTCTGGTGGACCCACATATACAAGTGGGTCGCCCGGTACGTCAAGACATGTGAAACATGTCAGCGGGTCAAACCCGCGGGGCACTCTTCGGCTCCACTACAGAGCCTGCCCGTACCGGCTGATTGTTGAGAGTCGATGAGTCTTGACTTCATCTTTGGGCTTCCCGCCGACGGACGCGGCAACACCGGAATTTTGATGTTCGTGTGTCGGCTGATCAAGATGGTACATCTTGCTCCAGTTCCCGTCACTGTAACGGGCGAACAAACCGCAAGGTTGTTCGTCGATGGCGTGTTCCGCTATCACGGTCTCCCGGAGACGATTGTCTCGGACCGAGACCCGCGGTTCACTGCCGCGTTTTGGAAAACGCTGTTCCCTTTAGTGGGAACTCGTCTGCAGATGTCTACTGCGGACCATCCGCAGACCGACGGCCAAACAGAGCGCGTCAACCGAGTGCTCGAGGACACTCTGCGCAGTGTGTGCGCGGTAGCTCCACGTACGTGATCAACGCAGCTCCCAGTTGTTGAGTTTGCGCTCAACAACGCGGTGCACGCGTCCACGGGGTTCACGCCGTTCTACTTGAACGGCTTCCGCCACCCCAGAGTGCCTCTCACTCTTCGAGGAGACACTGACTCCTCTTCTAAGTGGGGGAGAGGCTCGGAAAGCCCTTTCCTCCCAGGCCTCGGACGTGAGACCAGTTTTGCTGCGGAAACAGGTGGAATCCTTTCTGGATACCAAGCTGAACATTGGCAGCAGGGACCGCGATGCCATGGCAGCGGCCCAAGATAAACAAAAGGAGTACTCAGACAAACAAGGAAGAGGAAACTTAAGTATATTTGAGGTTGGTGACTTAGTGTCGCTAGACACGAGGAACCTACCTCTAGACACTGTTAGCTCTGTCGGCAGCAACAAACTGAAGCACCGCTTCATCGGACCTTTTGCAGTCCTGGCCAGACATGGTGCGTCGTACACCATCGACCTTCCAAAGTCAATGACGACGCACCCGACGTTCTATGTCGGACGTCTTAAGCGGTACTTTGACCCGCAGGGGGTTGCTGACTCGCAGCCCCCCCTTGACCCAGCTCCTCGAAGCAAGGGCCGGTCACAGTCGTCGACGAGGGCGTCGGAGCAGGCACCCAAGCCTCGGTCGGGACGGCAAGGCTGCGGTCAAGACCGTACGCCGGAAAAGGGGCTCCATACGAACGGACCCCGGAACCATACGCCGAGTACGCTGAGTACGCCGGGTACGCACCATACGCGTACGTCTAAGAGTGTGCCGCAGGCGGCTCCGGACGTGGCAACAAAGCCTCGATCCGTCGGATCATTCGAAAGGCCTCGTCCAGATCGGACGAAGAGGCCCGGCGACCCACCCGCAGGTGCAGGCTCGCGACCTCTCGCTCCACCAGGTCCAGGCGACCCGCAAGACGAGCGAGCTCGCCCTGATTCCCGGCCTGGGCGGCAGCATTACCGCCAGTCCCAAGGCCAAGTGCAATCTCAAGCACGAGGACACGTTGACGGAGGCGGTCAACCTCAGGGTCCCGTGTCGGACCCGCAGTCGGAGCACTCGGACGAGAGTGGCTCTCGGGAGGCGCCGAGTACTCGTACTCGTACGAGGGCACCTCCGCCCCTGCTTGACCGGAATGGAGAAGTCCACTTCCACGTGGAGCGGATCCTCCAGGAGCTTCGGTGTCGCGGTAAGCGACAGCTCCTCGTGAAGTGGAGGGGTTATGCCCACTCCGAGAACTCGTGGGAGCCGATTGAACGGCTCCTGATTGACTGCCCGAAGGCTGTCGCAATCTGGGAACAGAAGCGGCGGCAGCTTCATAAGTAGCTCGGGGCTTCTTGCCCGAACGGGGTACGGTCGATGAATACATACCGTACCCGCGCTCATCGTGAGCGCTAGAAGCTGTGGTGTAGGGATTTCCAGATTCGACCATACGCCGACCTACTTTAGGTCAAGAATCGGCTCGGTCTGATAACCCAGAGCTTAAGAACAAAGAATCACGGTAAGTACTCGGCGATCTGTCCGGATATGCTATCCGGATAGCCGCTGAGCTCAACGGTCGCCTGAACTCAGCTGAAGG